CAAGGGAGGTAACTCCCATCTAAAGTTAGTCTGCTTGGTTAAAGTCAGTAAATAGTTGGTCGGCTTAGTTAGTTAGTAAAATGTAGGGAGGAAGTAAACAAAAAGCGCGAAAGGACTTTTTTTACAATTAATTTTAGATTTATAAAAATGTTTTGTTTTTTTTATTCCAGTGATAAAACAACTTAGGAATTTTAATTAAAACCTTACATGAGAAAAATTAAGCCATTTACCAAGAGTTATGGCTATGACATACCCCAACACCAAATATGAAAGAAAGGAGAAATAAAATAATAAAAATTAATATTTATTATATAGAAATTACAACTGAACCATTTTTTTTAAATTTCAATTATTATTTAACTAAGTTTTTTTTATATAAAATTAATTTAATTTCTATAAAAATAAAAAATTATAACTGATCATTTTTTATTTATTATTTTTTTATATAAAAAAATTACTGCAAAAACTTCACACAATATATGAAGTCAGGTTATACAAGAGTATATATATATATATATATTATATTTGGCTTATATGTCTGTAAATATTTATGTCATCTTTGAACCAACTTTGCTGCTAGAAAAATGGGTTTTCTTTTTCTCATATTCTTTCCCACTCAGTAACCTCTTGCATCTTAGTGACTTTATTGCCTTGCATGGGGTGAAATGATTAAAAAATATGGCAGGGAATGTTGGACAAAAGAGACTTAAAGTTTCAGAGATGTGATTTGACTGACAAATGCTGAGAATACAATAGACAGAACATAAGTAATAAGGAAGATTTAAGGAAAACTGGATCTACAAAGAAAACGACAGCTAAAATTTGGTTATCCATCACGAGAAAAGAAGGCTTGGAGAATTTGACACTCACATAGCATATTAAAAGTAAGAGAAGTTGGGAGAAAGAGATAGCTACTTGAGACTAAATAAATGAATGGCAGAACAAAAACGAAGAGGAGTGGTAGTAGTTGCTTAGAGCAACAAAAGCCACGAAGTTGTGGAGAGCTATGATCGCCGATGTCCTAAAAGGATATAAAAGAAAATCATTCACTAATGTTCTTTCTTCTTTAATGGACAGAGTTATTTCCCTTATATCGCTTTTCGTTTTGTGAAATGAAGCCAGTCTTTTCATAGATTTACAAAATACATTCAAATTGAAATAAAAAAAAGTTCATTTCTACATCAGAAGATACATAAAAGATGAAAAAACAGTTTATTAATTACACTAAAAGTCCTTTTATGTACCATTTCCCTTCAGGACATGGCTCTTCACAAGTTCCTCTCCCTTGAAATTCCAAAACCAAATTTGACTTCTTTGTTGCAGACATGATCAAAATTTGGCTTCATAGAATGCTTTAACAGCAATAAAATTAAAGATAAAAAAGACTTAGGTAATAACAAATGATATAACTTTATACACCAACAACAATACGATAAGTTGGTTGAAAGAAACAAACAAGAGACTATTCATTTAACTCCTTAAAAATCAATCATGATTTTCTTACAAAAAAATGTGTGACACACAGGGTAATTCAGCTAGTCATATACACTCCTGATCAAAATGATGAGATGGAGATGTTTATTGAAATGGCAAACAATATTAAAAAAAAAATGAACTCCATGAAGCTATCTTCAGAAGCTGGAGCGATATTCCTCGCAGCTTAGTCATCAAAACCAGTGGAGGTAGAACTCATTATTAAATTTGGTTGTTGAATGTTTTCATAAACATTTTGTACAATTTTGTAGAATTTTTGTCTCTGGTCTTATAATTTTGATCAAGTGTAAAATGCCTCATTTTCTGAATAAATTGATAGGATTATAATTTTTTGTCTACATAACCGTTTAGATTATAGAATTAGTAACCTTAAGTAAGAAAAAGTTTCTAATGTATCCATGAAAAACAGTCTTTTTAAAAAAAATTTCATGTGGTCTTAAATTTTTGATCAGGAGTGTATAAGTATACTAGTTCTCTGACTTTCTGGAGCCTCCTAGAACTTCCTGGAACCCTTTCATTTTTGTTTTGGGAACTGAGTTATGTAAATGTAATAATATTTAAATTTGGTAATATAGGTGTGTGTGTGTGTATGTGTGTGTGAGAGAGAAAGTCTGTGTTTGTGTCAAATATTAATGTAGAAAAATATATAAATAAAATGATTATTTCTTCCAGTGTTCAGTGGTGATACAAGAAACTTCTATGCCAGAGTTAAATGAGTACAAATGTGAGTGTATTTGGTAGCAGCAGACTGTCAAGCATAGATCATGGCAGGAAATAACTATGATAGAATCCTTCTTCCAGTTCACAACCTTTATTTATACCTGAGCCCAGGATAAAATTGGCCCTGAAATCAGCCTTTTTTGATCTTGGGGGACGCCGTCTTAGTGGATAAAAAAATTATATTCTATTTTTTTAATGCCAACCTGTGTGGAGCCTATGTGCACACAGACACATTTTTCTCATATGACTTTTGGCCATGGAAACTTTAATTTCCTGTCCAAGTCCCACATATTCTTCTTGTTTTGTTAATTCACCCCTAGCAAGGTGATAATGCCACTAAGACGCAAGGGGCTACTGGGAATGAAAGAGAATGAGAAGACTTTAGAAGGCACCGGAAACCCAATACTAAACAGGAAACAAGGGATAAACATGTGGCGGACTTCACCACATTAATTTAACTTTAGTTTAGGAAACAAAACTGACGTGGAAAAGGATAAGCAAAAGACATTGTTACACATAAAATGTATTTAACAAGATGTACAATATCAAACAACAATGAGAAAGAAAGCATGCATTTAAGTAAGAAAAAGGTTGAATAAAACAAGAGTTGTCTCTCTTTATTATTTTTGTATTTCAAAGTTCAATGGAAGAATGTTTATAATGACTGTTCTCAGAAGATTTTGCTGTGTAAGAAAAAGATTATGTGAGTGTATAAGGAATGTTCAAGTGAGTTGTGGTGTGAGTGAGAAGGTTGGAAAAGTTTGTAAAATTTCGTACGTACGTGAATGCGTGAATAATTATTTATCGTCTGATTGCCCATGGTCGAGACAAGAATTCTTTGGGACTACATTTTGCAGCAAGAAGAGAAAGAAGAAAGCAACAGGCCCGTGTTTGCTATTTATAGATAATGTAATCACGTGATAGGATCAAGATCACTGAGTGGGAAGAATTATTCTTCATGTTCAGACAATCTGATTGGTTGGCATTGACCAATTAGAAGCTGATATTTCCTGAAAATATTTACTAAGTTGAGAAGGCTCTGATCCACTTTTTTGCACAAAAATGTACACAATTATACATTGATAAGGAAGTGGTAGCAGGATGCTACAAACATCTCCTGTTCAAAAGAATAGAAAGGAGTGTGAACTGGACAGTACTACCAACTCTTTGTCCCCACTGTCATTCATTCAAACTCATTAGATAGGTTACGTAATGTTTCCCCTCTGTTGCACTTTCTTTCAATATGTCTTATGAGTATTAGATTTTCCCAGCCTCTTTTTCTCATAATGTCTCTCAGAAATTTCACCTATGGCTTTCTTATTTTAAATACAAGTGACCTTGTAGTTTCTATTTTCTTTAAAACTTACTTTCTGCTCTTATGTTCAATCTATGGTATTCTTGGAATCCATCTTCAGAATCACTTATGCTAGTGAGAGTTTTTTCTTAATCTGTAAGTAAGTTACCAAACATTCATTACCATATAGAGAGAGAGATTGGAATTTAGGTAAAAATGGCACAAGTGAAAAAAATAAGAAAAAAAAACATAAGTTTATTGTAATATACACTATTTGCAAAAAAAAGTTGGTTTTGAATGAAGTTTAATTTTTTTTAAATATATCATATAAAACTTTTTACTTATTTTTTTTAAATATTAGCAAAGAAATTAGAATTGTTTTACCTTCATTTGTTAATATAAATTTATACATTTAAAATTAATGAAAAACAATCATAATAATATCAAATGTTTAAACACCGTTTTATATCAACTTTTCAAAAAAATGGTTATGGAGGGCACCTTGGCATGGTGTAATGGTTAGCAAGCTTGTCTTGCTAGAACATGTTACAACTGAGTAGTGAGTTCGATCCTCACTGGGTGCTCCATACTTCCGGCCTTGTGCCACATCTAAGCAGCACTTAGAAAATCACTATATATTGTTATGGGAGTCTATCTCCAAAACCCTAGGTGGAGTTTGATAACAGACAGACACAGGCTTCAAACTTTTATATATATATATATATATATATATATATATTTTTTTTTTTTGAAATTATGTGTTGAGGTGATTTTTTTTTTTTTTAAATAAACTGAATTAAACCCTTCTTTGTTATTTGGGAACAAAAGTCCATCGAATTATGATACAAGAAATCAATTATTTTACAAAAAATACTAGTGGGTACTAAAACAAAACTCAAAGCTGAATGACTACATGATAGTAATCCTGCTTTTATGCACTTGTTATTCTGCCAAATATGAGGTGGTTGGAGGTGATGTCACAGTGGTAGTGAGAGTCCCCACAAAAAAGATGAAAAAAAAAAAATAAATAAAATATACATTGACAGTTTTCACAAGTTTTCTTTTCCATGGTGGAAAAATTAGTCAGAAACAAAGAAAAAAGTACTAAACTGTTACATAATATCAGTTCACCTATATGGCAGTGAATGCTGGATAATCTCCTCACAGATGAAGAGACATGAAGCAACAGAAATGTAGTTCTACAGAAGGATGCTGAGGACACCATGGACTGAACATTTTCTTTCTTTTTTAGATTGAGTGATTCATTTTCTACAGCTTATCAATCCATTTCATTTTTTTTCTTTTGAGGTAATCGTTTAGGGATACAAATCTTACTAATTAACCCATAGTTGAGGGGAGAAGAGGTGGATGAATACATTTCCAAAGGATATTTGCATGTAAGTGAATATGATGAACTCAATGGAAACTGGAACTCTGCTCTCTGATTAACAACTCCGGACCATTATCCATTACACCACCCATACATTCATACTTACAGCATCTGGTATTCCCAAGCAGTGACCCATCTAGGTACTGACCAGGTTCAACATTGCTTAACTTTGGTGATCATACAGGATCTGGTGTTTCAGTATGATGTGTCGTCATGTTAGCTAAAGGAACAACCCAACATGCAAATTACAAAATCAAACAAATACAAGAATGTAAATATCTGGGAAGTGTTTTTACTAAGGACAAAAACTGTGACACTGAAATCCAAAAGCACATTGGAATAGCAAAAGATACCTACCAAAAGCTAAGTAAAGTATTAAGAAAAAGAAAAATTTTGTTAGAAACAAAGAAAAGAGAACTGAATTGTTAAGCAATATCAGTCCTCCTATATGGTAGTGAATGCAGGACAATCAAGAGACTTGAAGCAACAGAAATCTGGTTCTACAGAAGGATGCTGAGAATACCATGAACTGAACATGTGAGCAATGTTTTAGAGAAAAAAGAAACTTAGACTTAACATCAGGAAGAAACAGTTGAAATCTCTAGGGCACATAATGAGGAAAGAGGGCTTGGAAAATTTGACACTCACAAGACAGATTGAAGATAACAGGGACAGAGGAAAAGAGTGCATAATGTACCTAAATGGATGGCAGAACAGGTTTTAGGAAAGATAACAAAAAAACAAAATTTATTAAGAGTTACAAAGGATAGGAAGTTGTGGAGAGCCATGACATAAACGTCCTGAAGAAACACGACATATAGAAGGTTTCATGTTAAGCTGGTGTTTGTAGTAGGAGATTTTGTAGATCATTTAAACAACCTATGCTGAGAACTGGATAATATAAGACAATCCCAGAATATCATAAAATTATCAGCCAAAAAGGAGAAGGAGATAAAATAACATAAAGAAACAAACAGAAAAAGACATTCCTTTTTGATTTCCTTATGAGGTGCGTGCTGTGATACAGGGGAGATAACTGTATTTAGTGGCAACGCTAATTTAAGGTTAAGGTTTATTTTAAAAGGAACTTTTTTCTCTTTTATAATAATCTTATGGCAGATTAAGTGAGGTCTTGTCTGCACTTATCTTGGCACCAAGCAGCAAACAAAGATAAAAGTAGGGTTCTTAAAATAACTGTAAAAACATAAGCTATTTTAAAATAATGCAATACATTAAAAAAGGATTTTGAACTATATGGTTGTATTTGGGGAACAATTTTTCATTTTGACGAAAATTTTTTTTTTTTTCTGTTTATCTTTTGTAGGTTTTAGACCAACAGAGTTAAATATATTGCCCAATATTTGAGTACTTTTTGTTGCTGATTTGAATGAAACCACAACAAATAAAAAGGCAAAAAAAAGAAATGTTTTTATTTTAGTGTTTTTTACAACTAAATTTTTATTATTGTGTATGATTGTTAAAGTTCTTACAAACCTTGTTAAGATGAAAACAAATGTGTTTTCTTCGAGTGTATGTGCGAGAAAGAAGAGGCAAGGGAGAAAGTGAGGAGGAAAGTGTGTCATGTAGCTTGACGAGGGAACAAGTAAGGAAATTTCTTTTACGTTGGGCATTGTGAACTGCTGCTGTCTGTATCTCCTTACTGGTTTGTCTGTCTAGAAACTTTGCTTAAAAACCCTTCAAAGGGATCACGAAGCATGTTTTTTTTTTGGTTTTTTTTTATTGTTGACAGGAATGCAACACATTGATTGAAAAATGTTAAATATTTATTTCCAAAGCATTAATTTATTAACTGGAAGGATGCACAATCCTCCAACTCAGAAACCATTTTTTTTGTCATTTAGTGTTCAACTGTCTTGATGTTTATTTCTGTCTCCACTCCACATACCTTTGACTTTAATAAGCTATTATCAAAAAGATTTTGGTTTTTATGTGTTGTCCAATGGGCTTTAACTAAAACTGTATAAAGTTGAAAGAATTTTATATATATTGGATAAATTCAGGTAGCAGTTGTTTTTTTCCAAGCATCTCTTTTTAGAAACAATAGATTTTTAGTGGCTATTATATTTAATGAGTTCTTTCTCTAATGTATGAATATTCTTCTGCAAATGTGTTTGTTGTGTGTGGAAAGCAAGAAGCTGAAAGAGAGTTCCTGTGGGTAAGTGAAATAAAATCGATAAATAAAATAATAATAATAATAATAATAATAATAATGAATAAGAAAAAAAAGAAAAACATTTTCCATGATGCTAAGACAAAAAAAAGACATTTTGGCATCAGTTACTTTCCTATCACCATAAGGTTGCCTCTCTTTGCCTATTCTATAAATACTTTCATGGTAATTATTCAGATGAGCTCTTCGATATGTTAGCTAGACTTTTGTTTTTAGAATTTAAGCGTGGTACTAGACTGGCATCGATATAATCAATTTACAGTTGAGCTGGCTAGATGTGATCGTAAGTTCTATACTAACAATTTCTTTTGTTGCACTTTTCGCTTGTGGAATTCTCTTCTGGCTCCATGATTTCCCACCAACTTTAATCTGCAAAAATTAAATGTAATGTCAATCGCTATCGACTGTCCTCCTGATTATTTATTTTTTTCTCGCGCATTAGTAATGTTTCTGTTTTCTAATTCTTCCACTATCACTAACCCCTTGTATCTTAGTGGCTTTACCATCTTGCTTGGGGTGAACTCAATTAAAAAAAAAAAAAAAACTAGTTATCATAAAAAAGAAACGGTCCATAATAGAAACCCCATTTTTTGTATGATTCTTCTTTGTTTATCATGTGAACACACATCCACCTAAAATACAAACACACAACCTTTTAAATTCCATATTCCACATGTGAGAAGTATGATAGGAGAAACTGTTAGCATAGAACTTACAGTTACATGTAATCATTTAAACTGTAAAATGATGAGACCTAGCTGCCAATCTAGTACTGCAATTACATTCGTAAAGCTGAGGTACCAAAGAAGACAGTTCATCTGAACAATTACCATGAATATATTTATAGAAAAGGCATCATGATATGGTTGGCACATATCTTTGTTTTGTTTTTTTTTCCCAAATTGTCTCATGTTATATTGTCCCAAGCTTCTTGAGAAAATTATGAAAAATTATTTTATGGACTCTGTGTGTGTGTGTGTGTGTGTGTGTGTGTGCACAATTTGCTCTGTTAAATAAGACTTAATCTAAAATCAAATTGCAAGTTTATTGTGCAATTTCTACTGTCAGTATCCAAGCTTATCAAAATATACTTATAAAAATGTAGCAGGTGTTACACCCTTTTGTCAGAGATGCATGTATTGAAAACCCTGTCAGCAACAGCAACACCTTTTCAGCTTTTGGGTATGTGTAAAAGAAAACAAATTAAGAGTGAATCCCAAGAGGCACTTGAATCCCTTTTGAACTGTGCTGAGCTCAAGGTAGAATGAGAAAATTGGCACTCTGGAATAGATACACATGACATAGACCATACACCTCACTCAATCTTTAACTCACCAACAGAGTAAGTTAAACTATTCCTCTTTTTTTTTATCTCTTAAGAACATTCCTTGAATTTGAACTTTCTTTCAAGGACTATGTTTGAACTTTCCTGTATTCAAAAAAAAGTTCCTAATAGAAATCTTTATTCTATCTCATTTTATTCTACCAAACTGTTTTTATTTTTATTTTCAACCCTTGTAGTTTATGTTAGTCAAAACACAACATACCAACCTCTAATGATGCCCCCAGAAGTAACACAATAACTTATTAATTTACTTATTAAAATCCACAATATTCAGAATCCATGACATTTAGTCTTGTTTATTGAATACTGCATTAAATATCAATAATATATTTCTTTCTTTCACCCGCACAAGTCATAATTACGACTGGCTTTGTTTTGATCCATTTTTGCTGATAGAAAATTTAATTATCTCCTAAGTAATAATTTGAAAAGCAAAAAAACAAAAACGTATTTTAATAGTTTTGGCAACATTGTGTATCTTACCAAAAAAAAAAAAATATTCTGAGACATATTTTCAAACGTCTAAAATGTATTTCTTCCTTTTTATTTAAAGAAATTTTAAGATTGAAATAACAGATAAAAAATGTTTTAATATCCTTTAGAAATAAGCCAACTCCTTAAAAAAACTGAAATACAATAGTAATAAAATCTAAATAAATAATAGTGAAAATGCTTAAGCTAAAAGGCAACAATAATAGGATGAAGTAAAACTAGTAATAAAATTATAGTGAAAAATGTTTCATCTAAAATCTATAATAATAAAGCACAGTGTACATGTGTCTGTCCGTCCATCTGTTTTTCAATCTTGGTGAATCATAAACAACCTGAAGTAATGGGTAGTAACTACTGCAGTTACATGCAATTAAAAATTAAATAACTCATTTAAAGTTAAATTTTAATAGCAAACAGCGTGAAAGGTTTGAAAAAACAACTCTTTATTAAAGTTTTGACTTTACTTTCACTTTTTGTCACAGTTGCAATTGATATTACCTAATTAAACAATAATTAAAACTTAAGCAGGGCACAGTACATTGCACATGTGTTTTTTTTCTTCTAGCATGCATACTGGGACGTATTCAAAATATTATATAGTCTGGGTTCTCTAATGTCATTTAAGACAGACTTTATGTTAAGGGATCATAAAGAATGGTGATTGTGAAAGAAAATAAAAATTGCATGCAAACAACGTACTGTAAACAAACTACAGAGATCAGTTGTGCATATGAAGAAAGATTATGCCGAATTAAGGTGTCAAATAATGATAAAAAATTTTTATTATTTCTAAATTCTTATAACTTTTACATATATAGGATGCTGAAGATAAAAGGCTGAAGACCCAATGGCCCTCCACAGAAGCTAGCCTAAAATATTCCCAAAGGGTGGCTTCTAGTCTAGTGCAATAATAAAACAGAGTAAATCTGATAATAAAATTATCATTAAAACTGCTTCAGAGAAAAAAGTTCATGGTTTTCTTTTGTTGTCTTTGTGTGCATTAACCCAGAATGTTGTGATAAAATGCAACAATAAAATGCAGTAAAATAATAATAGTAATGAAAACGAAAACTTTATTTGAAGATTTTCCAATTTAAAAATTAGGTTTATTTTTTTATTCAAAACCCAGGAAACTAAATACAGAACCAAAAGTGGCTGACATCATTTTTCTT